AAATAAAATGACCGAGTACAACCGTCAATATTAGCCGACTGAATTCTCCACGTGAACTTCCACCAAATAAATAATAATTCTTATCACATCGGCAATTGTACTGATCGATAAAGAATCCCAAAATCAATCAGTCTCTCACTGCTCCCATTTACGAGATAACTATCATTCACTTATCAACTTTACTGGCAACTCCGTAATCGTTGACAGAATCTCTAGTGAGTTGAGTGGATAATGGTTTTACTGAAATTCCACCCAGGTAAGTTAATAAATTGAGGGATTTTTTTTGTTGACGATTAGTTGTTGCGGAGGATAGTTGATGATTTGAGACCTGATCAGACGATTGAGAGTTTATATACGGATAAGTAAGCACGTGAGTGTTGGTGTCGTGAGTAATTTCGAGAGAGATGCGGATGATGATGAAAGAGTTAATTCAAGTGGTGGGAAAAGATATAACTCGCGTTATCACCGCAATATCCGAATAATTATCCGGGGCTTTCCGATGCCAAGGATCGACTGTCAATCAAGTTAAAAAATGGGCAGTCTGATGGTTTTGCTCTGTTAGAATAATGTCCGTGCCCCCGGAGCCGTTAACCACGATTAACTCTGGTTACCTTACAGTTTACACTTCGTATTTCCCTTTCTCTCGTCAAACTTAAATCCGCCACTCCTCATCCATGTGTCTCAAACTTCCCCACCTCCACGAGACACAACAGAATCGAGCAGAACTGCTCTGTTGTCTTGGCTTTTATTTTTTTGTTGCTTTTCGCAGTCTGTCTTGCTCGTTCTCATTAGGATGTATTAATTCTTCGTGACGCTGTTTTTTTTACTACCCCGCGTATTGTCCTCGTATTTTTCATCTCTCTTTTCTTGGGAGACATCAATGCTGCTTACCTTATCGCACTTGGATGCAAAAAGAGTCGCGAGAGGTATGTGGGGAGGTGTACCCCACTTTATCTGTTCCTTTCACTTTTTTTTTATCCCCCTCTTAATGCTGACGATTTCATAGGTCTTTCTTGTGGATAGTTTGGCGAGTTCGAGGGAACATCGTCAACAATTTTGGTGATGTTTGGGGTCAAAGTACATCGTATTGTTCATTAAGGGATTATATCGGACTTCCAGGCGAAGAAATAGAACAGGTTCATTTTTTTTTTGTATAAAAAATGCAATATTTATTTCAAACTTTCTCTTATGTTGAAGATACACGTTTAAACGAGGTTTTCTGAGATTTTCGTAGAAAATTGTGAAAATTCAAAAATTAAAAAAAAAATGCTCTCGCGTTGATAGAACTCATGATACGGTCATTCGAAATCAATAATTAATATTGAAAAATTGCAATTTTTAGGTAACACCTGAAATTGTTTTTTGGACGAAGAAAAAATAAAAATAACATAATTGGGTTTTTGGCGGGTCTTTTAATGAAAACTTACCATTTTCGATGAAATTTTCATAACATTTCGCATCTTTAAAAATGGTTGCGATTTAAAAAAATCTCTCGTTAAAAGTGGGCAATAGTATCTCAAAGACGTGTGCAAAATTTCATCAAAATCGGTTCGCTGCTTTTCGAAAAATCTTGTCAACCGATTTTACAGACACTGTTTCGAGTAAGAGGCCTTTAAAGTTTTGAATCATAATAAAGCTGACCTTGAGAGCGGGATTTTCCAAGGCTCTATCTCCGAAACTTTTACTCCGACCGATTTGAATTTTTTAGACAATATAGACATATGAAAATTAATAAGCAAAAAATCGTTGTTTTTTCAAATTGCAATACCTGTGGAACCCCTTACGGGGGGTAATCCTCTTGAAATTGTAAAAAACTGTTTACTTTATATTCTAAAAGTATTATATATTGAGAATATACTGTAGAGATAAAAAATAAAAATATTAAATGTTTGGCGGCCGAACCGGAATCGAAATTTTAAAGGTCATCATTTCGAAACTGGATTTTCGAAAATTGCGCGGTTAAAAAAGTCTTAACCGATCTGGTTAATATTTTGGGAGGTTAGTCCATATTATTATCGGGTGCATAAACCTCAAGTGTCAATAATGTTATTATAAAACAATTATGGATTTTCAATTTTCCCATAATTTTTTAGGTTTATTCTTCGTTTACACATGTTAATAATTGAAAG